GGCTTCACTGAGTTACGCAAGCCCCTTTGCCACGACAAGGCAGTGATCCATGAAGGGGAAGTTTTGATACCATCAACCATAATATCCTCCTTGACTGTCCCCAAGGGTTAGGAGTCGGGGCACTGTATTGCAGTTGTTCTCCTGAGGGGGCAGTCTGGTTGGTGGTGGCAAGAGCAAAGTCAAACCAGTCCTTTTGAGTATTGGGTGTCAGAGGCCTCAATATTTTCTCCGCTCCTCATCAACAGCTACATGAAATCTCTAGGGTACATAACATTTTAACATAAGGGTAGGTATTGTTAGTATTCTGATGCTCAGCAGCTTTATATCTTAACTATAGTTCACACAGATGATGCTGTCAGACTTCTTCCCAGGAGTTTATTAGGATGAGGAAAAACAAGCTTAGCCTCAATCCCAGCAAGAGGGTATATCTTCAGGGGAGGAAGCCATCTAATTCCAGAGATATTTCATCCTTAGTTCTGGATGGAATCATGTTCCTCTGTGTTAAATTGGCTCATAACTTGGGGTCCTTGACACTCAGCTCCTGCTTGAGGAGCAGGTTACAACTGTGGCAAGGAGAGTTTTTTAACAACTGTTATCTGGTGCAATAGTTACCACTCTCTCTGGAATAGTCCCACCTGCCTTAGTCATCTCTCATTTGGGTACTGCAATATGCTCTACATGGCATTGTCTGTGAAGACCGCTTGGAAGCTACAGCTTGTCCAGAATGCAACTGTTCAAGTAGCGAGTATATTTCAAGTATATTATATATACTTGAAGTATAGCTCAAGTATATAATGATCTGCCAATGTGTCGTTGATATCTGTTGGCTTTGTGTACAATTCAAGGTGCTGGTTGTCACCTTAAAGCCCTTCGTGCTACATGACCTGGACATCTTCAGGAATGCCTTCTCCTAATTGTTTCTGCCCAATTCAATAAGATTATATACAAGGGGCTGTTTTCAGGTCCCTTCACTCAGAGACTCCATTATTGGGGCCTCAGGGGTGGGTCTTTTCATTTGCTGCTCCCCCTTTCAAACAGCATTCCTCCTCAGATTGGGTGGGTATGAGAGGGAGTGTTGCAGCGCTATGACCGCGCAGCTGGGCATGCATGTGCTGCAGATGTGGGCTGGGGCTCTGGGTGGACAAGCACTACAGAGTGGGATCCCATACTCTGTAGTGGGAGAAAAAGCAGCAGGAGCAACTTATAGGAGTGAGTTGTGACCTGCTGCTGGCTTCCCTGTGACTTTGCTTGTGGGAAGCCAGCAGGGAAGGTTGTAGATGGCAATCACCGGTTGCCAAGTGCTCAAATTTTGATCATGTGACCATGGGGGGTGCTGTGATGCCCAGAACTTTGAGGACCGGTCATAAGTACCACTTGTTTGGAGCTGCACAACTTTGAACAATTGCTGAATGAATGGTTGTTAATTTGAGGACTACCTGTACAATGAAACTTTGGGAAAGGTAAATTTATTGTAACAATATACTAAAAGGTCATCCCCCAGACTCTGACTGTAACTTCCCAAGGGAGAGGTACACTCACAGTTTGGGAAACCCTGTTGTAGTCTTTGTGTGACTTACAGATAATCAGTATCATCAACCCAAACAGGAATGGGGAACTCATGGCCCACCAGATTTTGCTGAACTACAACTCCAGCAATATCAAGTGGACTGTGTATTTCCCACCCATGTCACAAACATGGTAAGAACAAGCAGGAGGTTTTTTCTGGTAAAAAAGACGTGTTGTTCTACATATATGAATTAGAATTCATTTATAAAATTCAGCTGTTCATTCTTGCAGGTAACTTGCAGTTTGACACTTTTTTTAAAAAAAATCTCTCTCTCTTTTTTTTTTTAATATCTGCAGATTCCATCACCACCAATCTTCCAAGAACATGCAGGCATTTTTTCCTAGTCTACCTCATGTAATTTTTGACTGCTACATGTAAAATCTCTATAAACAAACTGCAAGCTTAACATAACAAAAACTTTTCTTAGGCAGCTAAAAAGAATAAGGGAACCTGCCTTTTGCTAATCAAAAGGACAACAAATTCATGAAGGGCTCCAAACAAACCTCATCTTTTCTGGGACTTTTCCTTGCTTACCTTCTTATACCTTGTAAATCTGTTCCAGAACATCTCTTAACACTTGTATGTAGTCTTGGGAGGACTCAGGACATACCTGTACTATTTCAATGGTGGATACCAGATGGACATAACTAGATAAACCAGTGACTTACCATAATAACTACAAATTATCAGTACTACAGTATATCTTTTGGGATGCATCTATAGAGATATATGTGTAGCTTTTTAAAAAATGTTCAGGAAGATCCTACTTTGCAAAATTGCTTACTGGCAAATCATCTGTGACTGTTTTGCCCCTGCCTCTCCACTTTTATTCCTTCTTAATGGAAAGAAGTGTGTATCTGGCTGTTAATAGCAGTAGTAGTTAGCAGCATTAGCAGCCGTTTGAGGAAGTTGCCCATCAATGACCCATGCATAGTTTTTTTTTTTTTTAATGAGCTGTATATGAGTTTATAAATGTTTTTGTAACATGTTTGATATAAATAAGTGAATCTACTAACCAGTGCCATATTGCTGTATTGTTTAGGCCATTTTGTTATTCAAAATGTTGGTCCACAACACGATGGTGATAATTCAAAAGTTAAAGTTAAAGTGCGAGTTAATATCCATGGAATCTTCAGTGTGGCTAATGCATCTGTTATAGAGAAGCAAAATTTGGATAATGATCCTAATGATATTCCAATGGACACAGAATTGTCATGTAAGAATCAAAGCAAAGATGAACTGGTATGTAAAAACTATAAGTAGAATTTAATTCTTAAATTCTGATATGTACTGTGGTAAATAGTTGGGTTTTTTTTACTTACAATCTTTGTAATTGAGAATGTATTTGTCATGTTTTGAAAATCTGCTCATTTCAATAACTTAACTTTTTTTTTCCAAACTTGTGAAATTTATTAATCCTAGTGCTTTCAGTTATTTTCTCCTAGCCCATGTTAATTTGCTTTCTACCTTCTCTTTAGTCTTTTTTATTTTATTTTTATTTTTTTTTTATCCGCACTTAATCGTTACCCATTCTGTGGTGACTGCCTGGATGAGTCCCTGCAGTTTTCAAGGCAAGGTGTTTCGGAAGTGGTTTGCCATTGCCTCCTTCCTAGAGCCCAGCTGGCGAGCGCAGGAGGCGGGGTTTCCGTTGCTTCGCACCTTTTTCGGGCGTGCACGGTTTTCCGCGCTACCGGCAACTACTCCTGTCTCCTTTTGCAAGGCGCCGCCAGCATTTTTCCTCCCACCGGAGTGAGAGTACCCATTTATCTACTCACATAAGTTTTCGAGCTGCTGGGTTGACAGGAGCTGGGGAGGAAGCAGGAGCTCACTCTGCTGCGTGAAGCTGGGCTCAAACCTCTGAAGTGTCGACCATTTCAGCATCATTAAGCCGCTGCGCCACCGCATCCCCTTTTATTTTCCTTGCTTTTATAAAAATGCATACTTGTTCACTCTTTCCCTGTACTAATACAGGCTATGTCTTTGACAATGTATTAAATAAGACATTGTTTCTTATAAAACATTCTAAAATTTAAAAAGATACTTAATTGTCACTTTTGTAAATCTCAGTGATGTCTCCTTAACTTTCATAGAACATTTAAAAAATGTTAATTGAAACAAATTATTTATGGCATGTCTCTTAGAACCATGCCAATAATAATAGAAAATATGGTTGTAAACTTGAATATTGCTCATGGAAATGTCAGTTAAGATGTAGAAAAAGAGTTCAGAGGATAATAATTAGTGTCCTAAATACAAAAGTAGCCGTATTAATGTTTAAGCCATATTTTCCCATCAAATACATGCTAATTATTTTCTGTTTACTATGAAGAGCATTGACACTTACCTTTTCATAATTGAAGATGAAACCCTTAACTCTGAGGTTGATGTTTGTTAAATATATAGTTTTCAGTAGCCCCAATTTTATTTAATTATTATATAAACTCATTAGTCTCTTATTTAAGTAATTCTACATTCCACCC